TTTCTTCTGTTGCTCCTTATATATATACACACTGTATATACGTATATAGTATTAAAACAATGAACTTTTTTGGTGTTTTTTTTTTAAGATTTGACAAATCATTTGCACCAGATTGTGTCTTTGTGGCAAGCATTTTTTTTTTTTTTTTACTAAATTTGTTGTTATTTGTTGATACAACACTGGTTCATCCCTTGTGTTTAGGAGTCTTTTCTTGCCTGGATGAATTATAGATCAGAGATAAATGGCTTAAACAAAAACAACCATCTGAAAGTAGCCAGTTTCAACTTGGACTGCACTAAAAATGAGTGACAAAGCAGTATAGCTTTAAGAAAATTGATGAAAGAGCTTCATAAAACCTTTCACAAGACTTTTGCACAGTAGTCACCTTTTTCTTTGTCCAGTTCATGTTGTGTGTGTACACTTTCTGGTTGCTTGGGTCATATTTTCGAGGTGTTCTTATTTTCTGTGCCTCGTTTAGGTTTGATTTTTGCCTCTACAACATAAACCCCTTTACTCCCTGGGCCCCTCATTTATGCCCTGATGGCCTCTTCTCTGTATTTGTTTATGCAGAGAGAAGAGGCTGCGGTTGCTGCAGGTCCTCCTCCCGTCCTTCATCATCCTCCTCCTCCTCTTGACGTCGCGTGCGCAGTTTTGCTGCAGCCCGGAGCTGAACACAGCTGTCCCGGTGCGATCAAACAACAGTGTCTTGCTGCAACGTTAAATTACTAATCTCTGGCTACTCGAACTGAACGAAAAACACAAGAAAGCGATAAAACAGATCTGGTGAGGCTTTGGTTTATTTCTTGCTTTTACCTCTAGTTAGCTTAATTGGTCAAAACCCCGATGTTAACCACTACTGGAGCAGCAGCTAGCGTTTGTGGACGCTGTTAGCTTATTAACCATAAACTAGCGGCCAGCGTTTATAGATGCTAGCTGTGTTAGCTATAGCTATAGTAGTACTAGCAGCCAGCGTTTATACATGCTAACTTTGTTAGCTTGTTTATAGATGCTAGCTGTGTTAGCTATAGCTATAGTAGTACTAGCAGCCAGCGTTTATACATGCTAACTTTGTTAGCTTGTTAGCCATGATACTAGCAGCTAGCGAGCCAAGCTAGCAGGCATTGTATGTATTGATTCCGTTTTGATAGCTTACTCCAATTTTAGTAATGCTTCATGCAAAAGCTTATACTATAATTTTCAATGTAGGATAATTCACTTTAAAATAAACCTTGTTGGTTGAGATACGCGCTTGTTTGTTAGTTAGCTTCTTTCATTTTCGGAGCAGCAATCAGTGTTCCCTTTTTACTGAAATACAAGTGTGAGTAGCGAGCTTGTTTAAGAGTAAATTGTCTTGAAATGATTTTTTTCTGTCCTGTATGTTGCTTTGCAATGTAAGTGTAAGCCAAGTCACTGGCAGCTAACATGGATTGTGTACCTTGCTTCATGGTTGGCTCTGTGTAAATTTAAGATGTTCTCCTCCCTCTCCTGCCTGCTGTCTCTGACCTTGTTTTGATCTGCAGTATTGAGCCAGTGCTGCAAAGAAATGTTAAGATTCACAGCACATACAGGCTTTATGGCTCATGGTAGAGCTGGGCGATATGATCAAAATTTTATATCACGGTATTTTCAACATTTTCACCGGTTTCACGGTATTTGACGGTATTTTTCTTTTCATCACAGCTCAGCTGATAATAAAATGTACAAACTCTGCTTATTGACTTTTTTTTCTTTTACTGTACCTCTGTCTGTGTTTCTGTTTCCCTCCTCTGTGTCTGTTCTTCTCTGACTGGTGGTTGGAGACAGTAGTCATGCATTTTGGTCCAGTCGTGAAGGAGGAGGGTTAAGAAAAGATTATGATCGGGTTTATTGTTTTATGTTATTTATTAAAGCTTATCAGCACGACTCACCTTGCACACCAGTCAATTCTAACTCCACTACGAACTACTTCCTGCAGGCTTTTCACAATAAAACCACGTTAAGTCTCCATCAGCATAACGTCTCCATATTAACTAACCACGTTAAATCTAACTGTGCACGTCACTGAAGAGGTGTTTACTACATTCAGCGACGGTGAAAACGGGATGTTTTTTTAAACGTCAGTCAATATAAGCAGCGGAATCGCCACCTGATGCTGCAACTAGCTGCTCCAAACATTAGCATGCTAACGCACATAGCGGTGCAGCAAGGAAAAATGTCCCCCGGGAAACAACAGTTCACTGGCGGCCGCGACGAAACGTTCCGCTATTTAAACCGGAATGTCGGGTATTCAAAAAATTCATATCATAACAAAAATAAAAACCGGTATTCGGTACAAAATGGTATACCGCCCAGCACTAGCTAATGGTTTAATAAAGGTGACTGGAAGAATTAAATCAGTACATTTTATTATTTTTCTAATGGAAAATGTAATTTTGGACAGCAAACATCTATTTAAAAATACACAGAGTTAGCACTGATTTAGCTATTTTCTGATGCTCATTTAACACGTTTTTCGTTCTTTCTGAACATTTACAATTGTTGTTCTTTGTGAATTTCACTTATAAATATAGCATTTTCATTAAAAGCGTTACACAATGGTGCTGTTTGAAAGGTTCTTAGATTTTTAGCAGACATGCATTGTTAGAGATGCTGTAGGCTTTTGTTTAGGGGTTAAAAACACATGATTTCCTTAAGCCCTAATGAGCCATTTCTGCTTTGTTCTGTCATTTTTATTATAACTTACATTAATTTGACTTTTTATCTACAGGTAAAATTAAAGTGGACCCACTGTTATCTGTTCCCTCTCTGTTTTGGTTCTGACCAAGTGGGTATTCCTCTACAAATGGATAATGGAGACTGGGGCCATAGGGTAAGTGATGTTCAACTAAAATGCTTGTTCACAAGTTAGTAAAAAATAGTACATCGCTTGGCTGGGTTTATGGAGATTAGTTGTTGACTTAAAATTGTAAGTAAACCGTTGCATTTTTTGTGGCTGACTTGGAATTCTGAGTGTTTGCAAACAAGTGGCTTGTGAGTCATGCAGCAGCAGTTTAAAAAGCTAATTATTTAAAGTTACCATCAATTTGTGTGTATGTGACATGCAAATGTATTCTAGGCTGTGTAGATTCTTTCTTTGAGTTACTGCTGGCTTTATCAATTGTGTTTTACCAAACACAGCTGCAGTAAAAAAAATAGATGTTAACCCAATGTATTAGGTGTAGCTAATTACGCGTTTGCTTCTTACTTGAAATCCCTCACATTCTTGGCGCGTTATAGGAAATACTTGCTGACCTTTCTTTTTCTCCTAGATGAATGCTCCTGTTACGTTGAACGTAGGCGGCCACCTATACACCACCAGTATTTCCACCTTGCAGCGTTATCCAGACTCCATGCTTGGTGCCATGTTCCGGGGAGACTTCCCCACAACTCGTGATTCCCAAGGAAATTATTTCATCGACCGCGACGGGACGCTCTTCCGGTACATCCTTAACTTCCTGCGGACATCTGAGCTCACCCTTCCTGTGGACTTCACGGAGACAGACCTGCTGAGGAAGGAGGCAGACTTCTATCAGATTGAACCTTTGATCCAGTGCCTTAGCGATCCCAAACCGCTGTACCCCCCTGACATCTTTGAGCAGGTTGTGGAGCTCTCTAGCACTCGAAAACTGTCAAAATACTCAAACCCGGTTGCTGTTATCATCACCCAGCTGACCATAACCACAAAGGTTCATGCCCTGTTAGAAGGCATTTCAAACAATTTTACCAAGTGGAACAAACACATGATGGACACCAGAGACTGCCAGGTGTCCTTCACCTTCGGACCGTGTGACTATCATCAAGAGGTGTCCCTGCGGGTTCACCTCATGGACTACATAATGAAACAAGGCTTCACTATTCGGAACACGCGTGTGCATCACATGAGCGAGCGTCCGAATGAGAACACTGTGGAGCATCACTGGACTTTCTGCAGACCAGCTCACATAGTTGAAGACTGATTAAACGTCGGATCATTACAGAGCAAATCAAATTTCAATAAAAGTACAGACCTCAGTTTCTGTAATGCATTGCTAATGTTTTTTTCATTCATATTTTGGTCAAAGTGGTACAGTGCCCAAAACTTGAGGTCCAGACAGCAAAAATAACAAAATGTGAATTTTGTTACTCTGATCAAACAAAACATGTCACTGGTGCCCCTACTAAAACTTTGACTTTTTTTCTGAGAAAAAAATAGCATTTCTTGGAGACTGAAAGCCATGAAACTAAGATTTTAGTATTTTATATTAAGTTTAGTAGACTTTTAGGACAGTTTTGGAAAAAAAATGGTGACGTAAAGTTGATAGGAAAAAATGACAAGAAGTGAGTTGAAAAGGGAAAAAAAATGATGTAATGGTTATAATTGTCCACCTGTGAGATTCAGTGCCATTAAAATGAAATATTTCAGTCTTGAAATAAAATCTTTATATAATACAAAATGAATAGATCCTCACAAGGAACAGTTTGCTCTCCAGGAGTGCACTTTTTATAATTCTTATAACTTAAGCTCAATAAATTTCTGATAAGTAAAATTAGTCTCTTATACCCCTCTTAGCTCTTTGTGTGGTACTGTTTCTGAAGCCCTGATAGTTGTTGCATGTGTCGTGTGTGTGTGTACAATTCATGTATCTGTTGTATGTTGCTTTTATGATACTGTGTCAAAATGTCATCAGCAGAAATGTGCTCGGTCATTTCAGCCAAAATAAATCCTGAACATATGACTCAACATTATTTTTTCAGTTATTGAATTTTACTCTACAACACACTCACAAAGTTGACTTTAAAAGGTAAAGTTCTAAACAAAGATTTTGTGCAATGTGTAGTGCTTGAAGTAAGTGTTAGGGGTGACTCACAGTTACTACCACGCCATATTTTAGCTCAATGTCTATAACTAAGATGTACCCATTGTTTTATTTGTCAAGCTTGCTTAGCTATCCTAAATTAAGGTGACTTGAAAAGTTAATCACAAGTAGATGCATATCAACGATTACTTTCTGAAAGTTTTTCAAAAAAGTGGTGGATGAGACATTTTGCTAACAAGGGTAGTGCTAAAACTCGTGCAGTCTGTAGGGTTTGAAGTAAGCATTTAGGGTGATAAGTACTGCCACAACAAACTTGAGCTCACTAGCTTAAAACTGACAGCGGTGGGCAGCACTAATTTAAAAATTAGTTCCACCAACCCTAAAGCGCTAACTCAAATATTTAGGTCCCCTAATTCTAAAGCACTAATACACTGAAAATTTAGCAAAAGCTAATTCTAAAGCAATAAATAACCCAGTCAACCCATGAACATTCTTCAACAGACAACATGAATCACATCTTGTCATGTTGCTCTCTTAAGCCTTATTTTAGTAGTTCATACATTGTCAATATGTCACCTGGTGGATAAGTGACAACTTTCACCGTCAGCTGAAAGTCAATGTTGATCAATAATATACAATAATATAAGTTATAGAGCTCAGTTAGTGCTTCTAAAATTAGTCTAAAATTTAGCAAGTGCTAATCCACTAAGAAATTTTAAAATTAGCAAAAGCCCTAAAGCAATAATCAGGAAATTAGTCCCCCTATTAGTGCTTTAGTGGAGCTGTGCCCATCACTGAAAACTGAGTTTTTTTTTTTTTTTTTTTTTTTTTTTTTTTTGTATGTGTGTTTGCTAGGTGGTTTACCTGTGGTGGCAATCTTGAATTGGGTTGACTTCAAATAAAATGTGTTGTCCACTGGTTCATGAGGAAATTTGCTAACTGGACAACGAACACACATGGCAAAACCAATCAAATTTTGCCTTAAGAGGGTTTTAAAAAGAATTAAAATCACGTGACTTAAACAAAACTTTTCAAATCCACTCATAAATAACGTGACCACCAAATTTATTTGGTCGTGCCTTTTTTTCCCTCCAAATTATTAGTATTTTCAGAAATAGTGCTTTAATATTTCATAAATACAGGAGACTGGTTCACTCAAGCAATAACCGGATGTGACGACTCTACGTGCGTTCGATTTCTTACACCTTTGGAGCCGCTAAGGATTTGTCTAGTGTGCTCACAAAGCACCGCCCGTTCTCTGTAAGCCGTACATCAAAACGAACGTACTCAGTCATCGCTCTTGTAAGGTTTGCAGAGGGCATGTGAAAGGTACATTGCTGCGTGGTTTTGACTCGCTTTCCTTCCGAAAAGGCAGTAGAAGTGTTTAGCCAGACACAGTTTGTGCTTTCCTTGTACGCAGACATGTTTTACAAGAGCACAAGAGTGAGACAAATGCTGAGCCTTGTCCCGGGGAAACGCCGACTGGGACCATACAGGTTTCTTCCCATCTTCTTTTGCATTGGAGGAGTCATGGAGTGGGTTATGATCAATGTGAGGATAGGAAGAGAAACATTCTGTAAGTGAGTAAACCATAGTCTTATTATTTTGTGTTATGTACGAACCAACTACCAACTAAGTGCTAGCTAACAGTTAGCTTGTTAGCATCTTTAAAACTCAAAACAAACAATGGCCAAAATTTGTCTTTTCGCTTGACAGCTTACTAAACCCCACCTGTCTTGCATTTTACACTGAAATTACAACATTTAAACATAATTCTGTTCGTTAAATTTAGCACAAATAACTTACAACACTTCCACTTCTTTTTTTTTTTTCAAATATCTGAAAGCATTAAGTGTCCTTGTGTTTGGGAGCCACTGCCTTGCAAAGTTTGAGATGGTTCACTGATTAGACACACCTGATGTATATTACAAGCTTATTATTCAGAGTTTTAGAAAAAGATGGTGAGATGTTATTTTTGTTATTTGTGTGTTTGCATCAAAAACAGGTCGACAGTTGGGTTAGGACTGCTCATACTGATGCAGCTATAAAATAAAGACAACTTGACTTCCCAACGTAATTTAATTAGTATATTTACCCAATGTTCTATACTCAAATCAATCATTTCAAAAATTCACTGCAAATAAAGCTTGTTCAGTACTTCTTAATCATTAAATTCCAGTGAGAAATATTATGTATTGGGTAACATAAGGTCCCAGTGCTAAATATGTTACAACACGTTTTGCAGTTTCTATTTTTCTAAACCTTATTCAGCACAGATGCAGATTTACGTATTAATAAGCACTTCATACAAATAGCCATTAATGGTGTGATGCCTCAATCTAAACATTTTTCAGCAAATGGCATAAGTCAAAAGCCACACTGTTTCATTTAGTCCAGATTTTAGACGCAGACTCACTGAGAACAACCAACATCTTTTACAACAATCTGTGATGAATTACCTCCTTGAAGTTTTATAAACCCGTGGAGCCATCATGATTCATGTCAGTCTGCAGTTTTTGGGGAGTGGGGCACAACTTTATAAAAAAATCTTAACTAAAAACTCATTAACAGATTTAACCTGATGCAGGTGTTTTTATTTTAGAACTACATGCAAAGCAAAGAATGATTCCATAATCTAAAATTGAATGATTCCATTTTTAATTAATTAATTAATTTTTTTGTTTTTTACAATTTGTTGTATGAACATCTTCCATCCATGCATCTATACGATTATCTGGGATTGGGTCATGGGGGCAGCAGCCTAAGCAGAGAGACCCAGACTTCCCTCTCCCCAGCCACTTGAGCCAGCTCCTCTGGGGGAATCCCAAGGCGTTTCCAGGCCAGCTGAGACACATAGTCCCTCAAGCGTGTCCTGGGTCTACCTCTACATCTCCTCCCAGTGGGACGTGCCCAGAACACCTCACCAGGGAGGCGTTCAGGAAGCATCCTAACCAGATGCCTGAGCCACCTCAACTGGCTCCTCTTGACGTGGAGGAGGAGCGGCTCTACTCTGAGTTCCTCCCAGATGACCGAGCTTCTCACCCTATTTCTACGGGGAAGCCCAGACACCTGGCAGAGGAAACTCATTTTGGCTGCTTATGTCCGCGATCTCGTTATTTCAGTCACTACCCACAGCTCGTGACCATAGATGAGGGTAGGAAAGTAGACCGACCGGTAAATGGAAAGCTGAGCCAAAATGCGAAGCTCTCGCTTCACCACGACAGACTGGTACAGCACCCGCATCACTGCAGATGCAGAACCAATCTGCTTATCAATTAGGGGTGGGAATCTTTTACTCTCTTACGATTCAATTCTGATTTTTGGAGCCACAATTCAATTCAAAATCAATTTTTTTCATTCAAAACTGATAATGTGAGCCCATTTGTAGTGTTCCCAAAATGCTTCATCTTCATTTTGCAAACCTCGCACGTCAAACTCAGACTCCTTCTGTAAGAAACAAAATGAGCCCAAATCTTTGCATTTAATGAAGACTGGGCCTGTTGAATCTCTCTTTCCTCCAGTTTTGTAGTTTCCTCTTTGTTTTGTGCTTTCTGCACACCCATATGCTCTAGAACAGTGGTTCCCAAACTTTTTGTCTTCTCACCCACAAAATATTCATGGCAAAAACTTGTGACCCCAATTGTTACTGGTGTGAGTACATGAACTTCATTAATAACCCTAAAAACACAGGCTTTTTGACAATCTAAACAGCTTATACAAAAATATAAATATTTATTTTTCACTTATTTTGTGTTTTTGTAATAATTATAGGGAAAATATTACATCAGCAATTATTTTATTGCCCTTTAAATTGATTTCTGGAGATTATCCAAGGTGCTTCATGACCCATAATTGGGTCCCAAGCCCAACNTGGGTCCCAAGCCCAACTTTGGGAACCAAAGTGCAGTGGTTCCCAAACTTTTCAGCTTTTGACCCACAAAATAACAGTAGCAGAGACCTGTGCCCCCAACTATTTTTGTATGATAAACATTTGCATCAGGTCAACAAAACAAGGGCATAGTAACAATATTTTTGTACTACATTTACCCATTTTAAATATACTAACCTCACTCATTTGTAACAACTAAGGCAAAAATGTAATTAATTCAGAAAATCTTTTCAGGACCCCACCTTGATGTTTCGGGACCCCACTTTGGGTCCCAACCCCAACTTTGGGAAACACTGCTCTAGAACCAGCTGCGTGATGACATCAGGACATCCCATGTAGTTACAAAATGGAGGCTGGCAGTCATTGGATTTGCTTTATTTTTTATTTATAAAAATTGATTCTGGGACATTTTAAATAGATTCTGAACCTTTGTAAATGGGAATCACGATTCTGATGTAAAACTATTTTTTGGTGCACCCCTACTATCAATCTCATGCTCCATTCTTCCTTCATTTGTGAACAAGACCCCGAGATATTTAAACTCCTCCACTTGGGGCAGGACCACTTCCTCGACACGGAGGAGGCCCTCTACCCTTTTCTGGCTCAAGACCATGGTCTTGGATTTGGAGGCACTGACCCTCATCCCGGCCGCTTCACACTCAGCTGCAAACCGCTCCAGTGAGAGCTGGAGATTCCGATCTGATGAAGCCAATAGGACCACATCATCCACAAAAAGCAGAGACGTGATCCTAAGGTCACCAAAACAGATCCCCTTAACACCTTGGCTGCGCCTAGAAATTCTGTCCATAAAAGTTACGAACAGAATCGGTGTCAAAGGGCAACCTTGGCGGAGTTCAACTCTCACTGGAAACAAGTCCGACTTACTACCGGCAATGCAGACCAAGCTCTGGCACCGGTCGTACAGGGACCTAACAGCCCGTGTCAATGGGCCTGGTACCCCATACTCTTGGAGTACCCCCAACAGGACTCCCTGAGGGACATGGAGAAACGCCTTCTCCAAGTCCACAAATCAAATGTAGACTGGTTGAGCGAACTCCCATGCACCCGCTAAATAGATCTTACCAGGGAGGTTCAGAAGTGTGATCTCCCTGTAGCTGGAAAGGGATCCACGATTAGTTGTAACATTAGACTTTATTTGATAAACATATATTTTAACTGTAAAATAAAGACTGTAAAAATACTGTAGACTGTTTTAACTTTGTAATTTTTAAAAATATATTTTAACACGGATGGAGCCATTTTATTTACATGCAAAGCATTCTGGGTAAATGATGACGTGGAAAGGTCCTCGGTGTGAGCGAGCTATATCCACCCTGAAGGTTAATCTTGGACAATATCTGATGATCGACTCTTTTAAATGAAACCAGAGAGCGTTGACAGAGAGGAGAAGGTAGAAATGACTCAGCCTGTAACTGAAAATATGGATGGAGGACAACAGAGCTGCTTCATGGAAGAAGAACGTTTGGGTCTGCCAGGTCTGACCGACATCCTCCCCCACCATTGGAGCCAACTCACCACCAGGTAGTGGTCAGTTGACAGCTCCGCCTCTCTCTTCATCTGAGTGTCCAAGACATGCGGCCGCAGATCAGATGAAACTACAACAAAGTTGATCATCGAACCGCAGCCTAGGGTGTCCTGGTGCCAAGAGCACAAATGGACACACTTATTTTTGAACATGGTGTTCATTATGGACAATCCATGACAAGCATAAAAGTCCAATAATAAAACAGCTCAGTTTCAGACTTGTGTGTGTGTGTGGGGGGGGGGGGGGTATTCCTCCTAACCACACCCCTCCAGGTCTCACTGTCATTGCTCATGTGAATGTTGAATTTCATCAGAACAAGGGAGTCCCCATTAGGAGCGATCCATCTTCCAGTACTGATGAATTCATAATTTTTCCAGGGGATGTGAATGGTCACCTGTTCCTTTTGTACTGTGCTATATTAAAATAGCATGCTGTGAAGAAAGACTCCTATTAACTGACAATTTAATATTTTTTCTTTTTTTACAGATGATGTCTACAGAAGGAAACGATCAGAGCGGGAGTACCAACAGAAGATGGCAGACGAGCTGATAGTTCTTGATCAGCCTGCTGCCAAGTGACTGATGGTCGGACTCGGACTTTAAACAACACTCGAAGACACATTGTTGGACTCTTCATTCCTGCACTGAGTTAAACAACTTTACTACATCAGTAATATTATTGATGATGTATAAGTAATAAGATGATGAACTCACCTCCAAACTGTTTTCAGAGTAACGTTGCAATTTTCAGTTAAATTGGGGCTGATTGTTTTTAAAGCAATAATTCATGTGAAAAGCAAACATTTATTAATGCTTCATGTTAAAAACTGTGTTTAGCATTTTTAAAGGGCAAAACAACATATTTGCATTCAGATTTCGCAATAATATATTAATTACTTTGGGTGAGAAACTGTATAGTTGATCTGTTTGTTGTATAAAAATATTTAAGTTCACTCTGCATTGTTTTCTTTTGACATTTTATAAATTTATATTACACCCATTCAGTACATGCACAATATAAAAAGATGTATAGTATATAAAGGTGTGTGAATTTTTTTTTCAGTTAAACAAACAAAAAAGGTACTGTCAGCAGATGAATCTCTCAGGGTATTATGACAGCCTGACTGTGTACCTGTCTCCTCTCCCTGGTTCAAATTGGGCCGATAAAGTGGCTATTGTTGAAATTTTGTTTTGCAGGAAAACCAGTCAATTACTGGCCCTTTATGTAAGCATTTCAATGGATGTACCTCCACAGCTAATTCAGTTCAAGATGGCCACCAAGGCCAATTAACCCTACAAAACATACAAATGGCAATAAATAAATAAACATATGGTTTATGGTTACATCAGTTTTTTATATATATATAGCTAAAATTAGTTGTGATTATAAAAGAGACCTTTCCCAACATACTCCAGTTACTATTCATTGAACACTGCATAATGCTTTTGCATTAATTGTAAGAAATTTCATTTTATCTGTTGGTCTTTTTACAGTTATTAGTGCACATGTTCAAAGTCAATATATTCATGCCTATTTCCAGTTTGTTGAAATACACCATCTCTAAACTGTCATACCTGTTTCAGCTGTGCTTTACTGTCATTCTGACATCTGGAAACGCTGCACATTAAGGACATTTTGCTACCACAATGAAAAGTACCAAACAACTAATTTTACAGATACTTGTGTACATAAAGTAAATAAAAAGCTGATGTAAATGAATCTACTTGAGGACATGGTGTCTGATTTTAAATGTGCATTAGTAACTAAAAGGGTCAATTAGCAAAATATGAACTTAAATGAAACTTTCAGAAAGTAATTACATAACTTAACAGTAAATTTAATTATGATGGCTGTCAAAGCTAATTATATAGCCACCACAAAGTGGCCATAATGTAACTGGCTGAGGGTTGCTCTTAACAGAGTCTGAGCGAGACATCTCGCGATAAAATACGAGATCACATTTAGGTTATTTTTAAGATTCAGCAAAAACAATTTATCATAACAAGATTATCTTAGCCTTAAAATTCGTTTATGAAAGGCACCGGGAGACAAGAATTCCCCCGTGGAATGCCAGACTAAATATTTTATATGAAAAGACATCGTTTGTATCCGATTTGACCGAGGTTCCATAATATGTGAAAAATACGAAAGTACAAAAAAACGCGGACCATTATAAATAGCGTACTTCAAGAGCGGTTAAAAAACGATTAAGATTTAATTTCGGCTTCCTTAATTATTATGTGTATCTCTGGAACAGGAGCAGCAGTTTGCATTACGTAAGGCAGATGTGTGGTGAGAAAGGAGGAAACAGAAGTACCAGTGTAACGGAAGTGGTACTGCCCTGAACGCTGAGCGAGACGGAGGCTGAATCGTCCAGAGAGTGGAAAAAAAAGCAGGATTAAAAAAAAAAAACACCAATATTGTAAGTGAAAAAACCTCACGCGTTGAAATATCGCACGATAACACGACATTTTCACTGGCAGCTCACTGGTAGGGGAGCTATTTTCTCGTGTCGGGTTGTGCTCCGTTATGAAGCCATCATAACCCGAGAGGCGAACCGTTAGCAGCTAATCGACGGTCGGATTCCGTGACACTTTGTTCTGACGGGCTCGGCAGCCTGGCCGGGCCTCGCTACAGCTGTGGGGAAGAAAATAATCGTAATGCACAAAAATATATCAAGAGTTGGTTCTCTGTGATTCAAATGAATCTGAAACACGAATCGTTGTCGTCGCATTCGTGTTTTATTGAGCTAATGTGAGTGTTGAGGTTTTTTTTTTCTTTCTGGCTGGCCTACAGATGGATGGATAGCGGCAGCCAGACGACGGTGGTTAGCATTCTAGTTAGCCACTCCGCTCGCTATCACGACAGATTAGCATCCTCCGCGTTCTGTGGCGACGCTTGGACACACCTTTTAAACGATATTTATTGGAAGATTTGAACAAATCAAGTCGTATTTATCATTTTATTGTCAACATCCGCGAATAAAACGCGTCAGCCTATGCTAACGCTGCTAGCAAACCCAGAGGAGGGCGTTAAGCTTCGGTGGGTTTTAGGACTGAGTGATGGTTAATACGAAACTGACTGAGTCAGGAAGATTGTCGGGTGCATTATATTACTAAAAATAATGTTTTTTGCTTTTGTTGATAAACCTGCACGAAGTTAAGTTAGACCAAGAGTAGGATCGACAGCGCTACTAATTAGCTAGCGGCTAACCTCAGGGATGTGTGTATTGTTGACCCACTTGCCAAGCAAGGGGCCCAGTTCACAACCTGTACTGCTCTCAACTGAGGAAGTAGTTTCTTCAAATTCAATTTTTTTGCAACACCACACAAATTTAAGCGACAAAAATAAAGCGTGTATTGCTGTTTTAGAAACTGCATTGCAAACTGTTGTACTCTATGCCAGTGGTTCCCAAACTTTTTATCTTCTGACCCACAAAATATCCATGGCAAAAACTTGTGACCCCAAATATTACTGGTCTGAGTACACGAACTTTGTTAATAACCCTAAAAACACAGGCTTTTTGACAATSTAAACAGCTTGTACACAAATATAAATACTTWTT